AAAGAGCGCTAGCAGCGCGCCACTTGACGCCGCAATTGTCTAAAGCGGAGTGTTTGTATGCTTTATTATGAATGATGTGTGTAAAAGTGAGTTTTTATGTTGTTAATTTGTAGGAAATGGTTTGAATAAAATAAGTTATTTTTATTTCTATTGGTTGGAGTTTTTATTCAAAAGATTTCGGTCTATAGCATTGATATTTACTGAAAATACCTTCGTTTGAATAAATTGCAGATATTTGGCAACTGAAGTGTTAGGTAAGCCTAAATGATACGTAAAAAGGTAAGAGACACCCTGATTATCATTTGAGAAACGAAAATATATGAATTTCCCTTATAAGACTCGCTCAATACGCTACTCCGCGGTTTATGCCCCGAGGGTGTCCGAGGGTTCCCGTTAGTTTGTCGTTGGCGTTCGGCTCGCGCGCGAGCCGACGTCATCGCCCGTGACGTCGGCTCGCGGAATGCGTCATACCCTGCACACAAAATAGCCGGCTGCCGAACAGCGCTCCGCTCAAGGACACCGCGAAAGTTTGTCAGTGTGGCTCTCACAGTTCAAAAATCGGGGTTCACACTGATAAGTTGCAATAGGGACTCCGGGGCGGTGAAGCGAAGTTTAGGTTTTCTAGAGCACATCAAGTTGCTACATGCATCAACCTTGATGTGCCATCAAGCCAGCTCATGTAGCCAGCAGTAACAGACAGACCCAACCAGGGGAGTGGGCTTCCTAAAGCGCGGAAGTCGCGAATGGGCGAGAACCTAGTATGCAACACTTTATCACAATGCACATCAGCACAAAATGGGATGTTCAGGTAGGTCTCTTTGGTCGAGGTAAAACCTAGCATGCAGCAACTTGTCACATGCTGTGTTTTTCTTTGCCAAACGGAAGACGCCACTGGACTTGCTATATTGTACCCCTTTAATATCTCAGTTTTGGAGAAAGTTATGAAAAAAGCGATACCAGAAACGAATCCGTCGTTCCCGAAAACCCCCGTTAGCATCTCTAACTCATTTTTGTTTACATTGGCGCTTACTATGTTTTTCCTCGACACGGTAGAACTGTATTTCGTACAACAAAATTACACTACAGACGCCATTTTGATGTTCACGCGCCATGTGTGCCGCCAGGTGTGGCAAAGTTGTATCGTAACAGAGCACTCCAGAGGGCTGTTCGGCTGCGCAGCAAAAATGAAATATGCTGCAGCACGCATGCGCAGTGAGGACTTCGTCGCCTGTTAGTCCCGCCCACACCACTGCGTCACCGCCTGTGTGACGTCACCTACTGAAGCATGCTTCGTTTTCCTGCAGCACGAAATTTGGTGCTGCAGGAGGCGAAAGTGGCGCGGATTAAAGTTTACCGTCCAATATTTCTTATTGTAAGTGGTTTGTATGCTGTTTTTTGGGTATCATTATCACTCTTTTCGGTGGCACATTGCTAATTACCACATTTGAACGCAAATTAATCGCTATTTGAGCGACAATCACCAGTTCACCCGCGCAACGGTTCGCCGCGTTTGAAATAGGCTGCGGCGACGCTCGGCCGCGGCGTGCCGGCGGAGAGTGGGCGGAGCCAGGCGGTTGACGTCACCCAAGTATGACGCACGCAGCACAGATCTATGCTGCAGGGACCCGAACAGCCCTCGGAATTCCATAAAATAGAAAAATAAAAGGTATTAGTAGAGCAGACGTCACACAAAGGTTTTCCAACCAAGGAGAGGCGCTATGCCTGGAGGTACTTCTTTCTAACAAAACCTAAACAAACCTAACCTAATCTGACCTAACCTAACCTACAACCTACAACCTACAAACCCACAACCTAAAAACCTACAACCTACAAACCTACCCTACAACCTACAAACCTACAGCGCCTCTCCTTGGTTGGAAAACCTTCGTGTGACGTCTGCTCTACTAATGCCAAATAAAAAGACTGAAAATAAAATATGGCCTGATAAAAACTAACACAACCTAACCTTACCTGACCTAACCTGACCTACTGATTTTTGCCTACCCCTTGGCCTACCCCATTTTTGCCTGACTTGGGGTCCAGGGATAAGGAAACAGATCCCCACATGAATAGATTGCAAGCTATGGTAAGTCAAATATTTTTAGGTTAAGTGGTTGAAAATATAGGAATCTATCTGGATCTGTGATCTCAGGATTTTGATTAATTAAGCTGAATCTTTTGAATGGAAGGATTCACAAGGTATGGGCCCCCACTAACAAAGCTGAGATTTTCATGTTGACTGCTGCACACCCTCCCATGATTGTGCAGTGCAATTCCTGGTATATGACAGAATTTAGAGTCTGAGGTTGAATGTATACACAAAGCAGCACACAGCCAGTCCTGCTCACTGACTTCAGCTGGCTATTGTCTGCCACCAGCTTCAACCATACCCTTCAGGACTAGAGCCTCATTAAAGGGACCCTCCCACCTTAACATTAGATTTGAGTTGAGATAGCCAAAATGGGGTCCCTGGCTCACAATTACCGGTTTCGGCACTCACAACATCGAGAAATGCCTTAAATCGGAAATATTGAATTTCAAAATTGCAGCATTTTGATTCAGAGGGGCTAATGCTTAGGAATACCCCTCTGAATGTGTGACGTCAGCGCAAATATCTAACGATTTTTAAATGTTTGACTAAAACGTTTTGTAGCACGCGGTGGTATACCGTAAAATGGGGTGTTAAGGGACAGTGGGGTGTTAAGGGACAGTTGCATGGGAAAAACTTTGAGTCATATTAACTTCCCAATTTGAGAATGTTCAATAAAAACTTCAGTGTGGTAGTTGACACTGTTTTGCTCTTGACCATAGGAGAAAATGGTATGGTTTTTCACGCAAGTGATTTGGTTCAAAAATGGATTTGAAAATCATGCTACATTTTCACAAAATTGAAACATCTCCAAAACTCTGTGTGTACCACATAAACTAGTGGGTGTACAGGGAAAATGAATGCATAGGTGTATTGTCCCATGTATTGCACATGTTTCCTGAAAAACTTGTGCAAATCCACCCATTCATTCATCATCCTCTTCCTCTTTTCCGGATACATGCATATTTTGAGGTGGATGTGGGGTGCTGAGGAACAGGGAAGAAAAAAGAAAAATAATATCTTAATATAATTTAATTAAGTAGGCATGGAAAACACCAAATTCCACATAAAATGCTGGCAAGTTCATGCTTTTATCTCTAACACATCTTAAGTTATGTAACAAAACATCTCAACACTCTTTTACAATGATGGGTCAATGGAGACTGATGTAAGTAAATGTGATGGCATCATAAAAAGGCTTAAACAAAGAGCGCAACATAATGACAAGTGACAAGCTTCAACATGGGTTTTTATTGATGACAGAAGATTACTTTTGGTTCTGTTTACCTTATAATTAGCACATTTTCCACAAGCGTAAATTGCATTACACGTAATTGGCTAAAAAGGTCATTAGTGGTGAATGAACCTGACTTGTTTTGTGACAGAATATGCAAAACACTTCAATAAATAAATTGTGTGCCCTTCCACACCCCAATTGTGGGCATTTGATGACCATTTCTTGGAATAATATAGGTGTCCCTTAACACCCCACATTGGGGTGCTAAGGGACAGTGATGAAAAATAATAAAAAATAATATGCAGGTATAAATCTTAAAAACTTTAATGTGGCAGGCATGTAAAGCACCAAATTCCACATAAAATGCTAACAATTTGATGCTTCTATCTCCAACCCTTCTTGAGTTATATAACAAAACACCTCAAAACTGTCCCTTAACACCCCGTTTTACGGTATGCTATTTGCGCGCAACATCTGCCGCAAACGCCGCACTTCTGAAATAAAGTCGCTAGAAACAGCGGAGATCCCAAAAAAGTAAACAAAAGTAAAAGTCTAATATCTTGAAAACCGGTGAATATTTTTCGGTGAGATTTGGTAGATATTCGTTTTCGCTCTTTCTGAACCGAGCGACATCTTTTTCATGCCAATTCATAAACTTTTTTGAAGGTGGGAGGGTCCCTAAGGACTTTTGCAACTGAGTTCAAAGATGAAGTGCAACCAGGATCTGACAACAAACCAAGGACAGAGATTTATGATCCATGTGGATCACACCACACAAAACTATGTTTGCAGGTGGTTCATTTCAGTAAGAGCCATAAAACTACGAATTGTGATTTGTTATCACATGAAATCCCTAGAACAGAACTATGACTAATTGCAATTACCTAGTGCTTCTTTACATGATCTGACCAGAGGGCTGTTCACGGACCCTGTGTGCGGTCGGACCGCACACAGCCTCGGAGCTCCGCCCACTTCGTCCCTACGTCAGCCTTCCGTCACCGCACACAGCGATCGCTGTGGCCGGTCGGGACTGGCCACAGCGGACCGTCCACCGCACGCAGCCGTGACGTCAGAGCCACCTACCCATCCCCTACCCCCACGCCTGCTGGACGCACCGCACACACCGCACGCAGCAGTGTGCGGTGCCCGTGAACACCCCTCAGATCCCTAGGCAAAACAAAGGCTTAGATTGATGATAATGGATCTTTTGGTAAATTGGTGAGCTGGATCAATGATGTCATTGGATCCAAGATGAAGATCTGTGGGATCAGATGCCCTTTTCCTTCTTCCCAGGGCCCTGTTTCACCGGTGATAGCAGCAAGCTGCTATCACGTTTCGCGAGCTGACGTCATGTCGTGACGCCATACTGTTGTCGTAATGGGTAGTTCCGGCGCACGATTGCCGCGACCTTGGCGGCGGCATTAAGTGACGTATGAGCCTAAAAGTAAGAGTTTACGCAGTCATAATAGTAGATATATTTTTGGTATATATTTTTTCAATATGATGTATTTAAAAGAAGTTGGGTTTAGGAAAAATTTTGACATTAACTTCGAACATTTAGCTGATGACGTAAAACAATATTGCGGCAATCGTGCGCCAGAATTGCCCCTTACGTCAGCAGTATGACGTCATCACATTACGTCAGCTCGCGCAATTTGATAGTAGCTTGCTGCTATCACCGGTGAAACAGGGCCCAGGACCCTGATACATTTTCTGTAAACCATGCACATTGCACATGTCTGGTGTATTTGTAGTTAGTGTAAGAATCACTATATCATTTGAATTGCTACAAACATGTTTTTCAGTTTCTGGTAATGAAAACCTAAACACTTGTGAATTTGTGATAGATCAGGCAACAGCCAGACAGCATAAGAGATGCCAGAGGTGAGTGATTTGGTAAATTTTTGGTACAAAAATTCACCATATTCTGTCAAGTGTTTAGAAGATGAACATAAATACTAGCCTATGCTTGCAAAAATTATAATGTCAGAAGTTGGTGATGCATGTGTGATTGTGATATGATGACCAACAAAGAATGTCAATTGTCAATGATGTCAATAATAATATATGGACAATTATGTCCTTACCTTCTCTTCTTTAAGTTTTAAACACTCCCTGATTTCATCAAGACTAGGTATATATATCTTGATTGGATTGCTTTTCATTGAACTGCCAATTTTTTAGTGCCATGATTTACTTTTTCACCTTATTCCAACATGTATCATTGTATGGCCTATATGCTCATTGCTCTCAATATCTGTCAAAATCATTCCTAGTTCAAAAGTTTACACACTTGCTCAATTTCCATGCCCTTATTAAATAGGAGCATATCCTTAGTCATGCATAATTCATTATTTATAGGTTACCCTGATTCATTTTCAGGGCAATGGCAATGGACCTTTACCAGGTCCAAGCCTTGAGGAGCTACTGGAGAACAACCTTCCAGGTATATTCGCACAACAGCCCACTGGTCTGGGAGATGAAGCCCAATGGTAAGTTATGGCTTTTTGACACGCCTTCCCTTTATCAGCAGATTATGGTTAAACATCTGAACAGCTATTTAGATCAGTCTCTTCTGAAATGTGTTTGAGCTGCTTGTCATCGCAGTTCTTCAGCCATAAATCATGCGTAACTCATAACAGTTCCATTTATTTCCACTTTGTGCAACAGTTGCGCTTGTTTTTCTCTGAAGATTCGGCGTATGCAGAAACTTGAGATGTGACTTAAAGACGGATTCATGGTGCCTTTTTCATATCTAATCATGAGTAACTAGTATATGATTGTTTAATATGTTTCCTATGTTTACTAACTATCAATCCGATATAGAGTAGTCTATGATTGATATCTTAACAAGTTCGATATTAAGCCAGAAACCTTTTCAAAGTGCCGATGCGCTGCAATCAGGACAGTGAGCGATTGAAGGTGTCGGCACTACGATAAGGATTGTGCGACTACTGATCTCGGTTCTTATCTTGACAAGGTCGAGTTGATTGACATGGTACCCATGTCTTCCACAGTCGAGTTACTTCTCAGTCATACCCTTGGTTTCGGGATTGAAATATTATCAGATTTGAACTCAGGCTCGTAGACACTGGTGGAGAACAATGAGAACATTATGTGATATTATTGTCTGATAGGCCAGCGACTGTTCAGTGCCAGTGACACTGCACCATGGCCAAATTTTGACCAACCGTTCATTATATCACTTTGTCGCAGGTTAACTGTGCTCCTTTCAATTGGTGGTGCTCTCACACATATTTTGTCCCCAAGAAGAACAGGCAAGGGATGTTTTTAATATTGATGTGCACTAGACAGATTTGTCTGTCACTAGCATTTATGCTAGTGTTCATTCCGCGAGGTCACAAATCTTTATGACATATAAGTAGGTACCTACCATGTAAATATCAGATTGGAGCCTCATGGTGCCGCCACTTTCTCATTTTATATGCTGTTTTTTCTTCTTCTGAGGTTGGCTTTCTCCGCAGGGGTGGAGCCATTGCCAACTTGGAAGTCGCCGGGCGACAGCTGCTGTATGCCGAGCCGGCCCCTGCACAGACGACCCTGCTGGTACGTGACCCGGCCTTGACGGGCCCGCGACGAGACCGTAGCTGGACCGGGGCTGGATCATGAGAGGACCATAGCTAATCACTATCGGCTGGAGATTGTATGGGGGCTAGGGGGTGGGGAGGGGCGTAGAGAAGCGGATAGCGGTGGCCACTGGACACCGGTAGGACAGTTGACCAAGTGTTCGGTGGATCTGGAACAGGGCGGTAAGTGATGGAATAGGCTAACTGTACTGTTATGCGTTGATGCATCACAAGGCTGTGCTGGCTGTCCCGCCCTGCGCTGACAACGTGATTATGCACACATGCAACCCTCCCGGCGCCGGCCACAGTCTGCTCGATGTATCGGCTCGGCTCAGACGGAGTGCCTTTTTCTGGGCAGGTGTCCCGCGATGATCTGACGTTCCGGGAGACTCCTGTGGAGGGCGGCACGGTCGCCGAAGGCCTCGTCGTGCCCCCGGCGCCGGCCGAGTTCTGCCGATTTGATGACATTTCGTTCCTGGATGCCCTCGGCGGCGGCGATGGCTGCAGCGGCGATATTCTAGATCCAGGTGAGTGCTGTGATGTGTGGCTTTCGGATGAGTTGGCGTATTGGGGAAGGATTCTTCGATAATGTGTTCTTAATATGAAATCTGAAGTGGCACTTCCACTGATACGTACTACGGCTTACACACGTTTTGAGAAGTAGAAGGTGTCCTGCTCTTTCCTTAACCAGCCTCCATGCTTCAATGACTCACTAGCCCAGCCAGTCACTCTTTTACCTGCCTGATTCACCGGCAGATGAGTACCTAACAGTGGCTCCGGGACTGAGCGGCGGGCTAGAGGACCCCCCTCCGCCGGCGGTCGGGCCGGCCGGGGACGCGGCGACTCCTGAGGATGACCTGCTCACCCCTCTGACCTCTGGTGACCTCTCGCGGCCTGCCGACGTGATAGGAGCAGACCGAGATACCTCTCCACCGGACGCGGACGATGAGGGAATGGATCAAGTTCTCGAGGTATGGGCACGGGGGTAGGAATCATTCTAGTGAAGTTGTGGGAATGTTTGATGTGTTTTAGAGTTGCGCATGCATGAGCTTCGTTGGGTACAAATGACGTCACCAATCAGTGTTTTATACTATAGTTCGTTTTTTTTTCAAAAGGACGCTGGCTCAAAGCTCATTATCGAAGCTCTCACGTGAGTTTTGGCAACTTCAGCGTCTGGCTAAGAATTTCCTGCCGAAAAAATGATCGATTTCAAATTGTGCTCGGTAAATACATGGAAATTGTGACTTCAAAAATGAGCATACTATGATGACGTCACTGGTGACAGCTGGCACCCAATGTCCGTACGAAAGCATTCATTGCCAACGAATTTTGGGAAAACTTCGTTTTTTGCTCTTACCGAGGCCCGAATCGAGTAAGCGGTTCTTTCCATGATAGTTATGCATTGCATTGCAATGCAAGTTCCACAGCATGACGTCACCACTGTTCTCATGTCTAGTTTCAAAACGCAGGCATGAAGTTTATCGGGAATAATTCACATGTTAAAATAAGGCGACGTTCGAGTTTCTCAGGTTCAGTTTTTGCTCGTTTTGCTCGCAAAAACACGTGCTTGTTCGAAAAATATACTTGGAGCCAGCGTCCTTTTGAAAAAAAAAACGAACTATAGCGCCATTACCGTTCTGAGAGAGCTGGTTTGTCCTAGTTACATACGTTCCAACCTCAGTCCGTCTCTGCGTCGAGTGCTGGATTCTGCACACTGTATGTAGTTTGTGGTATTAACCACCACCCGTCTCCAGGTGGCGGAGCCGGTGTGGCCCGTTCTGGAGACTGACACCGCTCCCCCGCCGAGGGCCGAGCTGGGATGGGCGCGCCGGGTCGACCCGAACGAGACGCCGCCCGACGGCGTGCCCGACCCGGACGTCAGGACGTTCGAGTTCGAGCTCGACACGTTTCAGAAACAGGTACAGAACGAGGAGCAGAGCGCCGCGCTGTTGAGGGATTGGACTTTTAGAGCTATGGTAGGGAGTTATACAGCTGTTACTGCTGCTGAACGCATGAATAAATGCCGTCATCCGGTGAAATTGATAACCTCCTATACCGGAGCACAGTTACTCAGGATGGGATCATAGGACGATGATGACGAATTTGGTTTTTTCCGGGCACCCAAAAACCCCCAATTCATCCTCCTCCTCCTATGATCCCACCCTTAGTAACTGTGCTCCGTGTTGACCTATCAGCGCCCTGACTGACCCTGTGGGACTCCGGCAGGCTATAGGACTGATTGAGCGCGGTGAGAACGTGCTCGTGGTGGCTCACACGTCCGCCGGTAAAACGGCCATCGCCGAGTACGCCATCGCCCGTGCTCTCGCCGATGGCGATAGGTGAGAGCTCCCGGGGTCGCGCCCGCATTTTGTGGTAGTTTTGGACTAGTCTGACAGTGCGGTGATGAATATGGGGCACTTCACCGTGATTTACGTGTTTTTAATTTATCCAACTTCAAAATATATGGTTGGGCTCAGGCGGATCATCTGTCTTCCTTTGATTGAATTTGCTTTTTATTTGACCTAACTGCTGCAAAGTGTTGTTTAATTAGGACTTTTGAAGCTGCGATCTTATTGAAGTCAAACCATTCTCCTCTTAACCCGCGACCTGGTGGGGGGGGGGGGCTATTTTTTGCCCCCCCCCCCTCCAGACTTTTCGATATATCTCCAGAACCGCTGCGCCGATCGTCACCAAACTTTTAGTACCCTCCCGGACATCAATTTTACACATTGTGACCAAAATTTTTTACAAAGGCTATGATAGGTTGGCCGGAAATGACGTCAGAGTGACGTCATGTTCTGCCGTTTTCGACCCAAAAAAGGGTTTCGCGGGAAGAGCTGTCAGACCTATAGCTTTGCAAATACAGAACAATGATAAATACATAAAAGCTGTAGAATAGACAGGGCTACAAAACTGCTATCTCGGATTTGTGAAATTTTTGGATTTTGACCCCCAAAAATTAAAAAATATTTTTTTTTGGATATGAAAATCGAAAAATACAAAAAGTTTTTTTGAATTTCGCAAAAACCGGAATATATGTGATAGTCCTTACCGCCTTCCATCCACATACCAAATTTGAGATTGATACCTCTTTTTTTGGCGAAGTTATAGCGAAAAAACTGTTCAAAATTGATGACGTCAAATTTTCAAACTCAATTTTTAGCAATTCTAGACACCGTAGCGCAAAACAAAGACCACCATTAGACTCCCCGTGACGAGCTGCATCGATTCAATACCCATTTTATGCAAAACTATCAACTTTAAAATTTGACCTTTTTTGGCCTGACCTTGACCTGCACTTCACCAGAAAGTGACCTAAGCCGTACCTGATAGTCTTATAACCAACACCATGGAATTGGAAATGAAAAATTGGCCATAAAATATGCATCACACAACCTTAGTAAAGTTGGGCTCATGTGACCTGACCTGTGACCCTTGGTGACCTGACCTGTGACCTGAACTGGTATTGTCAGTGACCTCTAATAGCAACATATCTACTAGGCAACTGACGCCCTATCGCTGATTCTCGACAAAATGCGTTTTCCTCGGTGTTATAGCGCATTCCCTAGAAGACCCGTGAACGGTGAAACATTTCATCTTTGACCTGACCTGTGACGTCATCGGTGACCCTGAGGTCAATGAAATTTGGTTTCCCTTGACAAATTTGACAGGCCTTTCGAACGCCGTTTGAATTTTGCGGATCCGTCCAGTAGTTTCGGAGATACGAGGGGGGGGGGCAAAAAATAGCCCCCCCCCCCCACCACCAGGTCGCGTTATAAACAGACCCCACCAGGGCGCGGGTTAATTGCGCCTTTGTACAATATTTTGTCAGTTTCCACTCCGCGTGCTCTCTATTCGTCACATCAGCGCAGGATGTGATAATCTTATTAACCCGCGCCCAGATGGGGTCTGCCGAGCAACGCGGTCTGATGGGGGGGGGGGGGCCATTTTGGCCCCCCCTCAGATCTCGAGAACCACGCAACATAGCGACAAGCGGTAAACGGTGTTGGATAGCCCCAACAGGGAACTACCTTGTGACCCAATTTCATTGACCTCGGTCAAACCGATGACGTCACAGGTCAGGTCAAAGGTCGAATTTTCACCGTTTACAGGCATTTCAAGAAATGCGTTGTAAAATCGTGTAAAATGCATTTCATTGAAAATCATCGATGGGGAAATGTTCTTCAAACACATATTTTGCTATTTGAGGTCACTGATACCAGGTCAGGTCACAGAGGTCAGGTCACTGGGGGGTCACAATATGAAAGTGTCGTGTGATACATGTTTTATGGTCCATTTTACATGACAAATGCGATTATGTGGGTCAGACAGACTTTAGGGCCAGCTTAGGTCATGTTTTGGTCAAGGTCAGGTCAAGGTCAGGTCAAGGTCAGGTCAAATTAGGTCAAATTTCAAAGTTGATATTTTTGCATAAAATGGGTATCGATTCGATGCAGCTCGTCACGGGGAGTTCAATGGTGGTCTCCGTTTTGCGCTACGAGGTCTAGAATTGCTAAAAATTGAGTTCAAAAATTTGACGTCATCAATTTTTAATAGTTTTTTTCGCCATAACTTGGCCAAAAAAAGAGATATCGATCTAAAATTAGGTATGTATATCGAAGAGCGCAGGGACTATCACATATATTCCGGTTTTTTCGAAATTCGAAAAATTTTTGGAAATTTTTTGAGTTTTTCTTAAAAAATCAATTTTTTTGATTTTTGGGGGTCAAAATCCAAAAATTTCAAAAATCCGAGATAGCAGTTTTGTAGCGCCGTTTTTTCTCTACACAACCACATAAAGAACTTTAAAATTGCTTGTGAACTGTAGAATTGGTGAGCGTTTCAAGATGTCATGTTTTTTGCTCATTTTTACTCGAACATGACCTCAGTTTGACCTCAATAACTCCTGACCTGAGGTGACCTGTGACTTGAAATTTTGTGTGAAGGTGTCAAATTGATGTCCGGTAAGGTACCCAAAATTTGGCGGCGCTGCGCGCCGCCGTTTTCTCGCTATTTAAGAAAAACCACAGGGGGGGGGCCAAAATGGCCCCCCCCATCAGGGCGCGGGTTAATCAGTTATTAGCTGGATACGGTCGAGATGACGGACCCCCCCCCCCCTTCACACACAGAGTGATCTACACCTCTCCGGTGAAGGCGCTCTCCAACCAGAAGTTTTGCGAGCTGCGCAGTCAGTTCAGCTCGGTCGGCATTCTGACGGGCGATACGCAGCTGAACGAGGACGCGCCCTGCCTCATCTGCACGACAGAGATCTTGCGCTCGATGCTCTACAACCGGCCGTGGTTGACGGAGCGACTGCGCACTGTCGTCTTGGACGAGGTGCACTATATCGACCAGGTGGACGTGAGTAACGCTGGCAGGAATCGCCCCGACGCAGGCAGGGTTTGTGTGGGCAGGCGTGGCGGACGCGCTTGTCTAATGTGAAGGTAATTTGTGTGTTAAAGCGTTGTGTTGGCTGCGACATTACAAGACACGGGTATTGAAATGATGCTTTGCTCGCTACTTAATTCAGATGTGTTTTTCCATTTTTGAGCCGTAATTAAGTGTTTCCACGGTTCTGAAAAGATGCACGGCGGCCTTGTGCATTCGGTTATCTCAAATCGCAGCAAGAAGATGTTCCCGCCCGGGATCGAACCGGGGACCTTCCGCGTGTGAAGCGGACGTGATAACCACTACACTACGGAAACGCTGGGGGAGGCTGATACATACAGGCAAACAAACATACATACAGACTGTCACAAGGATTCATACTTTCAGTAGATGATAGTCATAAGTCACATGATAGTCACACGCATAGAAACAGGATTCGTGGATCGTTTTACTATGCTAGATTCGCAATGCTGCGTTTATTCAATTAAAATTGCCCCCTCAGAAGTCTTATTCCTCACACCCAAGGCATAATCCGACCTGTGATGTAAACGGTCTGTTACGCTGAATATCGCATCAGCAGACTAGTCACTTTATATACCTTGTAGGTGTCTCTGGTGTAACACCGAAGCAATCCATTCACGACATTCCCTCACTCTCCCTCTGACTAAAGCCAAACGGCCATTAGCGATGTGTATTTGTCTATGTGTACTCTGCAGAGGGGTCACATCTGGGAAGAGTGCCTGATCCTGCTGCCGCCGACCGTCAGTCTTCTGATGCTGTCGGCCACAGTGCCTAACGCCATCGACCTAGCCGCCTGGGTCGGAGGCATTAAGGTACGTACGTCCGGCGGCCGACTGGACCAGCTGCGTCTCCAACCTATAGAGCTTGTCTAGTCTGTGATTTGATCAGCTTTCGTTGTTTTTCGTTGAACAGATAAACAGCATGACGACATCATTGGGGTGTACATAGTGACGTTGAGTGAGCGATATTTGCCCACATTCAGGGGTAATAGTGCAACTATGCCGAGTAGGGCCACTGTTTCGAGCTGGCCTGAAACTGTGCCCCGATGCCGAGTTTTAGTGCTCTTTGCGTGCTCTTTGCGTGCTCCCTGTGCTCACCGCTGTGCCGTGTGCTCCCCAGTCACGGCCTGTGTTCGTAGTCAGCTGCCCGAACCGACCGGTACCGCTAGAACACCAGCTTTACACCGGGCCCGCTCAGGAGCTGCGGGATGCCGATATGCAGCCAATGCGCATCTTCACTGTGCTCGACCATAACGGCATCTTTTCGAACGACAAGTACGTGCAGGGCTATGGGCGGTTGGATCATACCATATATTTGTGTATGCTTGTCATTTATTGTGTTGACTAATGAATTTACGTAATTTTTAAACTTGAGGAGCGGAAGATGTTCTTATTATGAGATATGATATCACATTCTCACTCACATTGGTATTGGTAGTGGCAGCGTTCTAACCATCTATCATGTCTATGTTCACTGCAGCTACCAACTGGCCTTTGAATCGACCAGGCACCGACGGTTAAGCAGAAGCAACTCTGTAGCACCCGTTACCGCCGCCGTCGACAACCGTGGCAGACCATATCACGGAAACGCTAACCAGAAGGCCAAACCCAGGCTGCAGCAGCAGCGGAGCCACGGCGGCGGCGGCGGCGGCGGCAGGGGTGGGTCGGGGCGCCGTCAACGTCCACCTTCCCCGACACAAGAGGACTGGGGCGACCTGGTGCGTCACATGGAGAGTTCCGCCCTGCTGCCGGCCATAGTGTTTGTCTCGTCCCGGCGGCGCTGCGACTCGACGGTGGCTGTGCTGGGACACCTGGACCTCACCAGTGATGAGGAGAAACAGAGGATTCGCGCTCGTCTGAGGATGCTGGAAACGCACCTGGACTCGGGCGATCGTCACCTCAACTCGGTGAGGAGGTTTAGGAAAAGGATCGCTATTCGGTCTTTGGTGAAAAAATTTGGTACTATGATTGGAGATCGCCATTCGTGAGTCATTTGGTTGGGAGGAGGGCCTTCTAAGGAGTCAGGGTTCTAAGAGTCAGGGTTAGTCAGCCAGCTTGGTTCTAGGATCGTCATGTTTTGGGGCTGGTGGGGAAGCTTGGGCAGAGGATCGCCATTCGTTTGTGTTTGGGAGGAGAGTAGTCGTTGGGAGGAGGACGACTTTCTAGAGTCAGGGAGATGGCTTAGTTGGAAGATCGCCGTCGAGAGTGGATAAGATGATTCAAGACTTCTTTGAAGATGAGGGCGGATTGAAAGTGTATTGACTATTGATCTGTGTACTTTTTTTTTACACAGCCTTACCAAGTCTGTGACTTGGTAAAAGTTGAAACCAGGCTGACCTTTGTCGAACGGTTTGTTCTCAGGTCAAGTCGATGCGGGAGTTTCTACTGAGAGGTCTAGGAGTGCACCATGCTGGTATGCTGCCCTTCCTCAAAGAAACAGTGGAGCTGCTCTTCCAAGATGGATTGGTGAAGGTGTGTACACAGTTGTAAGCGGGAAACGGTATCTTGGAGACTTTGGTTTGTTAACTCTCCCACCTTCGACATTTAGACAAAGTTAAAATGAATATAGTTACCCGTCTTGGTGTTTTTATTTCGGTGCGCCGATGTTTCTGTTTTTGCTCTCACGCTCATGATATGCTGTTTCTGCTCCTTCTGTCGATATATATATATGGTTGTTTTATGGAATAACTAGTCTCGGGCGGTGTGTCTGAATTACCGGACGTGCTGTGTTTCAGGTCCTGTTCGCCACGGAGACGCTTTCAATCGGCATCAACATGCCCACACGGACGGTGGTGTTTGACTCGCTGATCAAATTTGACGGGTCGTCTGAGCGCTATCTGCTGCCCAGTACGTATGTTGGGCCGCCCTGGTTGTGAAAGGGCTCATATACGCCCGAGATCGTGTGTCTGTTAAAGGGACCCTCCCACCTTCAAAAAAGTTTATGAATTGGCATGAAAACGATGTCGCTCGGTTCAGGAAGAGCGAGAACGAATACCTACCAAATTTCACCGAAAAATATTCACCGGTTTTCAAGATATTAGACTTTTACTTTTGTTTACTTTTTGGGATCTCCGCTGTTCCTAGCGACTTTATTTGGAAGCAATAGTTTGGCAGCTGAAAGTGCGGCAATTGTTGCGCGCAAAGCAGTATATACCACCGCGTGCTACAAAACGTTTTAGTCAAACATTTAACCCGCGCCCTGGTGTGGGTCTGAGCCACCTTCGCCCTGGTGGGGGGGGGCCAAAATGACCCCCCCGTCTAACTCGAAAACGAAGAGGGCTAGGAAGACGCGGAAAAAAGCAAACGAAAGCCCATAACAAGTACGTTCGAAAGTATTTCGGTCATTTTTTCGCTAAGGTCAATATTGAGGTCGCTAGAGGTCATCATAGGTCAAATTTCAGTGTTTTCGGTGTTGCCGGACATATTCCGCTGTAGCTCGGAAACTAGAAGAGCTAGAGAGCCGCGGAAAAAAGCAATCGATAGCTCTTTTCAAGCTCTTTCGCCAACGTTCGTTAGATTTGACCTCAGCTCAACGGTTTGGCCTACAGAGGTCATGCAAGGTCAACTTGGCAAATTTCGTTGAAAATGTTTTCAACTATAGCATGCATTCACGAGAAAATAGAGAAACGATTCATGCACCATCGTGCTTGGCTCGTCGAGACGCGTCGAATGATATATAGTTTGACCTCGAAAGGTCATTTTGAAAATTTGACCTCAGGTCAAGGTCATGACCTTACCGAAATAGGTCATGCTGCATATCATTCGATCCGCATTGACGAGACAAACACGATAAACGTCGAACGGAGTCTCTATCTCTATTCAATAACAAGTAAGTGCAGAAAAACCGCTGGTGACCTCTGGTGACCAGGGAGATGACCTAGCGTGACCTCAGCGAGGTCACAAGCAAATGGTTTCACATGGGCTGTGATTTGCTGACCCAAGACACTTCAATAACGAAATATAGGAACAATCACGCCCGATTTAGCTGAAAAACAACTACTTTTCGATTCTCCCATTGACTTATAATGGGGAGCAGCGATGACCTGACCTGACCTTAGGTCAAATTTATAAAAAATCCGAGATAGCCATTTTGTAGAGCTGGGTGACATCTTCAACTACTGTAAATTTTACATCGATCGGATAAAAGCTGTGCCTTTGAGAGAGCTTTGAACTTTTTTAGAGGTGGTGTCAGTTTTGGTGACCTTGTGACCTGACCTGACCTGACCCGAACCCCCCAAAAAAGGACATGATGTAAAAATGTTGAATAAACAGCTATACAAAGTTTCAGGGCGCTAACTCAAGTGGTTTCTGAGTTATCGCTGAAAAACCACAGGGGGGGGCCAAAATGGCCCCCCCCCCCACCAGGGCGAAGGTTAAAAATCGTTAGATATCTGCGCTGACGTCACACATTCAGAGGGGTATTCCTATGCATTAGCCCCTCTGAATCAAAATGCTGCAATTTTGAAATTCAATATTTCCGATTTAAGGCATTTCTCGATGTTGTGAGTGCCGAAACCGGTAATTGTGAGCCAGGGACCCCATTTTGGCTATCTCAACTCAAATCTAATGTTAAGGTGGGAGGGTCCCTTTAACCCGCGCCCCGTAGGGCTACCGGCGGACCCTACCACCCGTAGGGGGGGGGGGGGCCGTTTCGGCCCCCCCTAAGATCTCGGAAAGTTACCGGCCGATTTTCAAAATTCAAACGGCGTTCGATAGCCCCACCCGGGAACTACCTTGTGACCAAATTTCATTGACCTAGGTCAAACCGATGACGTCACAGGTCAGGTCAAAGGTCAGATTTTCACCGTTCACAGGCAATTCAAGAAATGTGCTGTGAAAGCGAGTAAATTGGTAATTTATTGAAAACCATCGATGGTACATTGTTCGTCAAACACATACTTTGCTATCTGAGGTCACTGATACCAGGTCAGGTCACAGCGAGGTCAGGTCACCGGGGGTCACAATATGAATGTGTCGTGTGATACATGTTTTATGGTCCATTTTATATGACAAATGCGATTATGTGGGTTAGGCAGCCTTTGGGGCCAGCCTAGGTCACGTTTTTGTGAAGGTCAGGTCAAGGTCAGGTCAAATTAGGTCAAATTTCAAAGTTGATATTTTTGCATAAAATGGGTATCGATTCGATGCAGCTCGTCACGGGGAGTCTAATGGTGGTCTTCGTTTTGCTCTACGCGTTCTAGAATTGCCAAAAATTGAGTTTGAAAATTTGACGTCATCATTTTTGAACAGTTTTTTCGCTATAACTTGGCCAAAAAACGAGGTATCGATCTGAAATTTGGTATGTAGATAGAAGACGGTAGGCACTATCACATATTCCGGTTTTTTCGAAACTCAAAAAACTTTTTGGATTTTTTGGCGAATATATCCAAAAAAATGCTTTTTTGATTTTTGGGGGTCAAAACTCAAAAATTTCAAAAATTCGAGATAGCAGTTTTGTAGCCCTGTCAATTCTACACCTTTTATGTCTGATCATTTTTCTGTATCTTCAATGCTGTAGTCCTGACAGGTCTTCTCGCGAAGGTCTTTTTTTCGGTCGAAAATGACAGAACATGACATCACTCTGACGTCATTTGTGGCCAACCTATCATAGCCTCTGGAAAAATTTTTGGTCACAATGTGTAAAATTGATGCCCGGAGGGGTCCTGAAAGTTTGGTGGCGATATCTCCAGCCGTTTAGGAGATATCGACCGAAAAGGACAGGGAGGGGCCGTTTCGGCCCCCCCCCCCCCCCTACGGGGCGCGGGTTAACAGGGGTGACTTTTCTAATGGTCCCGATGCTCGGCTGATTTGCTAAACCTGTTTTCTATTTAACATCATTTATCCTACATAATAACAACACAACACCCACAATCTACATACTTTCTAGTGGTTATGTACTCCCCAAAAGCCGTGAGACCTTACTGTTTTAGTGATGAACTGTTTAGCTGAGGTTGAATGTTGCCTGAATCACTAAAATCAGACGACCTGGGCCCTACCTTTTACAACAAATACTCTAAAAGTTCCTCAAGGCATTGTGATACTGCTTCTCCGTAAATGTGAGTGAGTTTCGCCAGTATTCGTGTGCGGAGCTTATTTGCCGCACGTGTATGTCGCTCGGCCGTGTGGCCGCCCTTCCCCATCCTGCCGCCTCTGCTATTGGTAAGCGCTATAACAGTCTTCTGACTCCTCCAACTCGTGGCTTCCCCATCTCATGCGGTGCCTGCTATTTCCAGGCGAGTACATTCAGATGTCGGGTCGGGCGGGCCGACGCGGCAAGGATCAAAGTGGTACAGTGATCATCATGGCTGTGCCTCGCTGCCCGGACAGGGCGAAACTGCATACTGTCGTCTCAAGTAAGTGTCCACGCTGTCCAGATAGGGCCAAACTGCATGTTTTCGTCTCAAAGTGAGTGTTTAAGCAGGGCCACACTGCGTCACACTGTCGTCTCTAGTGGGTAGGCAAGGCACAGGACAGGGTCCTTTCTGGTTTGGATGGGCTCAGGGGGATAATGTAGCGTACAGCTTGTTTTGCGGGATGAATGGTGAATGTTTGTGCGTCTTTATAAGTGACAAGTCCCCTCCCTTGCCAGCGCCGCCCGACCCCATTCGGTCCCAGTTTCGGCTCACGTTCTTTATGCTACTCAACATGCTGAGCACGGGCCGCGGCGCCGCCAGCGTCGTCTGGAACAGTTTCGCGCTGTGGGGCCGCAGCAGTCCATCTGAAGTTCAGGCGCAGCTGGAGAGGTGAGGGATAGGAACCCGGTGACGCCCCGGCTAGACGCTAGACAGAAGACAGCCTCCGGTCGTCAGACTGCTAAACCCGACATTTTCTAGCACGCTTATCACAATATTCATAGTGCTCTCGTTCTGTTGCTTCATTGCAGTACTTACCGTACATCACAGTTCGTGGTCATGTTACCGTCGTTGATACGCACCGCTCAACATAGACCGTAACTGTATTCATAGACCTATGTTTAAAAATAATAAACTTTTGAATGAGAAATGATAGATCCCCGTACGATTTTAACTGCTTCCACACTGCTACCGGAGCTTTTTTCAATTGTCGCTGCCCTCGGCCGCTGCCTTGCGCTACGCTAAGCAGCTGTCGCCAACCTGGGTCTGTCGGCAGACTACGGAACGAGGAGGTCGGCGCCCGACTAAGCGCGACCGACGCCGCCGACTTGCGCAGTCAGTGTGAGGAGCTGGTGGCACTGGTGCAGGAGGAAAGGGTGAGAACGAGCAGAGCTGGGATGAGAACGGACAGGAGTGGGGTGAGAGCGGTCAGGGATGGGGTGAGAGCGGGCAGGGATGGGGTGAGAGCGACTGGAGCGGGGTGAGAACGGATCTGGATCATCAGGATAGGATGGGGACGGAGTAAGAACGGGTTAGGTGTGTATGGGGGCCAGAACGGCGAAAATGTAATGAATGAATGAATGAATGAATGAATGAATGAATGAATGAATGAATGAATGAATGAATGATTGAATGAATGAATGACGGAAAAAAATAGTGAGAGGCTGATCGGGATTCGCCGAAATCACAGACTGCCCAGGGGTCGGGGCGACATCCGATTAAGATTGTACGATACTGAAACTGCAATAGTACTAGCTCACTTCTTGGAGTGATGTGGCTAGGCTAGACTAGGAAAAATTAGTGCCAAACTTCAGGAGTTTGTTCTTAAGCTGAAGATTTTGGATCAGGCGGGGGTGACGTTTTGGCGGAAGTGACTTTCTTTAGTAAGCAGTCCACGAAGCCGGAAAAAAACTGGCGAAATGATGATCACTAATTGAAAAGTGGTGAAAAATCGGCAACGTTAGGTAGGATGAGGCAAGAAATAACTGTAATCGTGAAAGTAACCAAAACATACATAAATAGTTAAGTAAATGAATAAAAAATGACAACTGCTGCAAGCTGACAAAATTGACAAACTTTACGTTGCTGTAGTAAGTAGATGCCCTAAAAATTTATTTATCTCAAGTACTTATGTTATTTCTTTTTTTGTAATCGGTGTCTACTGTTTCTACAGAGGGAGCACGCGAAGAAGTTGTGTGAGGGCGGTAATCCGGCTCGGGGGAAGGTAGCGGTGATAAGCTCCGATAAAATCGAGCGTCGACTCGCTATTGTCATGAAGGTAAGTCGAGACACAGCGGCGAGTGGACGGTTTCATCAGTGCATGGGAGAGGAGAAGGCGGGCATGCAGTGTTGTGTGTTTGTGGTGGGGCAGTGTGGATGCTTTGGTGGGAATTGGAACTGGTTCTTTGTGACTTCGGTGCGTCACTTGAGTTTATATGTGTTGATCTGGATCAGTTATAGTTTTTCTTCACAAATCGCGACTTAGTTCATGGTTTTACTCGCACTAGCTTATATCTCTTTCGATAAACTGTATTCCTGCTTGTCTATCAATTGACCAACCCAGCTCTTCTAGATGCTTCGCCAAGCTTCCTTCCCCTTACACACACAGACTCATCTACACAATACAATACCCTCCCGTGCCATGCCGCTACTACACTGGTAGTGAACCTATGGCCGGTGTCTCCAGTCCTCTCAGGTGGACCGCAATCAGCTGGAGTGCACTCAGCACACAGTGCTGACGCTCAGCGCGCCTCGCGACCCCCCGCCGCCCGCTGAGCCGACTCGCGAGCCGGACAGGGAGCTGGCCCGCCGCGCCGCCGCCGCCTTGCGGCCGCCGCTGCTGCGCCCCGAGGTCTCGGCTGGCCGGGTGGCGGCGCATGAAGAAATGACGGTCGGCTGGGCGGACGTGGAGTTCTACCTGGCTGAGAGCGTGACAGGCAGGTGGCCGAGAGAGCGAGCGAGGCGGACACAGCGGCGCTTGGAGCGGCGCGATACAGATCACTGCGGCTGCTACGTCGGATATGAGCTTGGATGAGACAGAGAGCTTATGCTTAAATATGGCTTCGCTCAGACATTGAGCTTTGCTGAACATTTAGCTTTGTTGAAGAGTTTGCTGAGGACACTGCACCGACGAGCTGTGCTGAAACTGAGCTTTGCTGGGACATTGATCCTTTCAGAGGCAGCGAACTTTGCTGATACATTGTGCTTTTGCTGAGGCTTTGGGCTATGCTGTGATATTGAGCTTTGCTGAGACATTGGGCTTTTGCTGAGCTATCGACCTTTTGCTGAGGCTTTTGGCTTTGCTGCGCTATTGAGCTTTGCTGAGATATTGAGCCTTGCTGAGATGTTTAGCTTTGCCGAGACACCGAGCTTTACTTAGTCATGTTTCGATGGGCTTTGCGAAGACGGAACAGGCTGATACACTTAGCTTTGCGGAAGAAATGAGTTTTACTAAGAAACACTTGGTCTTGCTGGCTGCTGTGGCACCATACGCGGAATAGTAAGGTTATCAGTCGCTTGTCTTGCTGAACCCACGCAATATCTCTGTTATGTGCAGGGTGTCCATGTAAGAACTTCTTCCGGCATGTTTAGGTCGTATTTTAATAGTATGAGCTGTATTCAATTAAGGGCCACAGAGTCCACATTTTAACCCGCGAGTTGCTGGGGGGGGGGGGGGGCGTTAAACGCCTCACTTTTTTCGCCCGGCCATAGCATAACCAAATTTTGGGTACATGTAGGGAATTGATTGAAGTTTATTGTGACAAAGTTTCTCGGTCGGAAAATTTTTGAGATATCAAGGTTTTAGTGACGTCACGATTTCCGAGTTTTCGACCAAAAACGGCATATGTTCAAAAAATCATATAAAATCACACAATAGACATACAGACATGCCGTAAACGCCATTAGACTGCCAATACCATGAACAATCAAATGGCTATCTTCGATTATTGATTATCGTTCCGCATTTTCCAAAATATTGAACTGAATCTTGACAATTTCTCGTGACTAGGTACTTCACGACCATGATACATGAATTTCTTAAATTGAACTTTTTGAGCCAAACACGTACACATATGATAAAATGAATGTCACCATCGTGTTCTACGCCCTAAATTACCCATAAAACATGTGTCACAGGCTGCGAATATCAGTTTTGATTTTCGGGGATATATGCCTACCCGGTTGACCTGACCTTGACCCTGACCTATGCTTGACTGACCCCTACATGGAGCTGACACTCTTGTAGGCCTTATATGATGGATTGTGTACCGTTTTGACAGAGTTTATGACGAGAGGCGCCCATTGCGAAGTCCTGAAGTCCATGCTACTGAAAGCCCGATTTTGGGTGTTTGACCTGACCTTGACCCGACCTGTGACCTCAAAATTCAACTTTAAAGTACTCTTCTGAATTCTGAAGCGTCTCGTCGCGTTCTTTCGTTTGCCGCCTCGTGCGTTTCGCTGCGCCTATTGGTTCTCGAGTTATCGGCTGGGGGCGTCTAACGCTCCCCCCCCCCCCCCCCAGCAAACGGTGGGTGGCGAAATACCCCAGCAACTGCCGGGTTAAGTAACTTGTTGATGTGATCGACATCATGCCAATCCTTAAAAGTATGGTACTTGTGAATGACGATGACCCTCTGAAATTTCTGTAATGTCTGCATCAAAACCTCGTTCCCGAAGGGAGGACAATCCGCAGTACATGTGGGTAGGTTCCTCCATTCGAAACCCAATGCATCCAGACTCGTCACTTCAACGCGCAAGACATGAGAAGGCCGGTTGAAAATGCGTGGCTGGTTTGAGTAACACCCAACTACCGGTTATTTCGTAAAAAAAAAACGCGGAAAGATCGCGGATGGACCATGTGACTTCAGCATCGCGGCCCACCTGAGAACGTACCACTTTTGTGAAGTGTTGTCCAAACCCCTTCACGGCAAAAAGGTGGCAGTTGACAGAAAATGTGACTATCGGTCTCATCCTGGCATCATCGCTTATTTTCGAAGTCAGCCAGGGAAACAAACGGGGCATCACGGCACTGACAGCTTCGCTCCGTCGCTGGAGCGCTTCTTGGAGCAGAAACAGATGCGGGAGCGATCGTTGCGACTGGCGAAGCTAGCTGGCTGGATCGACACCCCGGACATCGCAGTGTGAATGCAGTGACAACGTGTTTCTCTTACCGCCGCAACAGTCCGAAGTGTGTTGAAGAGTGAGCCCTTATTCACCCGATTTCAATTCTTGGACGTCGTCTTGCCGGGCTTCTTCAATGATTTCTTCTATACAGGACATTGCACACATTCCAAAGATGGACTATATCAATAACGGGCCCCTTCAATTCCACCTCCAACAGCTACGATCATTATCCAGGGGCGCGGGAACTACTTTCAGACTGGGGGAAGGGGGAGGGGGCACATCATAATAGAGATAAACCTAGGGTACCCCAAATCCAGTTTTCTCATCGGTTTCAGGCCACTTATTTTTCATCCCTTGGCCTTTCAACAAAAAAGAAAACATTTGCATAAAAAGTGCAGTATTCCGTCTCACAGTTGTGGAGCACCGCCCCCACGGCCCCAGAGTTGGGGGGGGGGGGGGCAAGCTGCCCCCACTGCCCCCCCCCCCCCCGGTTCCCACGCCTATGTCATCATTTCCGTCAGAGTATCATCATTCTGAGCCAAATCTATTTAATTGACATGTAAGTGTAGGTGATGCTCACTGACATAGGGCGTTTGAAATGTATATTTTTATAGCTGCATAAAAAGCAAATAAATAGAAAAACGGTCAAAATACCCAAGACATGGACACCCTGTGCTTACCGCTTCGACCAGAACCGTAGGAATTGGCATGGGCATTTGTTACTGCAGCTGATAGACACACGAACACTGAGCAGCATAACACCCCTTCCCTGCTTCCCCTCCAGCGCCTCTCTCCGTGCTGGACGACGTTCGTGAGCGAACAATGGCTCGGTTCGCCGACCGAGAGCCGTGGTCGGCGTGCGCCGCCGCCGTCAGCCGGCTGGTGGAGCTCTCTGAGGGACCCGTGGCACCGCCACCGGAGTCGCAGCAGCTGACGGAGCTTCGTCAGCAGCTGGAGGGCCGGTACCGTGGCGTGGAGCGGGTGGAGCTCGTCCACACGGTAGGTGGAAAGGTGGACGGTGATTTTTTAAAACATAAATTTAGTCCGAGCCTTTTTGAATGGAAGGATTCACAGGGACAGAGCGAAGCTTAGCGAAGCTTGTGTTGACCCTGCCCTCTAGGCTCTACCCTCCGATCGCGCTATTCGGGTTCTATGGCAGAATTGGGAGTCAAAGGTTGAACGTGCGCACATAGCAGCGCACGACCGGTCCCCTCACTGATTTTGCCTGGCTACGGCCTGCCACCAACCTCAATCATACCTGTCAGGAGGCTTATAAATGTCATGCGCCCGTCGCGCTTCGAACCCGGACTGTTATAACCGGGAACGCGTGCTCTCACCACGCGAAGTCCCACGCTCTACCGACTGAGCTACGGGACGGGCTCAGTCGATAGAGCATTGGACTTCTGTTTCTGTTGTGTAGACGTCTACTTCTTCTGTTGTGTAGAGGGGTTTTCTAAGCTATCCCGGTGTATGGTGGGGTGAGGCTGACTGACTAGGAGGATTGGTTGGCTGGTGTTATTATCGTCGTGTGTTTATTGTTTTGATGATTGATAATACCATTTGTACATATATCATCCATTGGTTAATTCAGTATTCTGTAGCTGATGCAAAGTTAAAACCGTCGAACTCTAACGCCATCGTATTACTTCACTATAAAATCGCCTGCCGGCACTTTTATCCGTTATTTTTAGTAAAACGTTATGGCTTCAGAGATACATAATGAATTTGTGAGCTATCATGTATTGTTCCTGTGCCTACTGATTGATTCTCACTACTTCGACCGCCAGCTGGAGGCCGCGCTCGCTGCTGACCGGCTGTACGCGCAGCAAAAGGAACTGGATGACTGGAACGTTGAAACCTCGGCGATGATGCAGGTCCTCAAGGAGCTCGGTTACGTGGACAGCAGCGGCCGAGGTGAGACTGTGTGTGTTTTTAGTGCGCACGGGTTGTGTTTGTGTTATTTTCTCCTAGTAATGACGTCAGCTAAAATGGTGTTGACGAGAAACAAAAAGCTGATTTGGTAAGACTGGGCTCAGCTCGCTGTCATGATTCCCTGTCGGTGACCCTCCTCAACTCCCCGTTTGACCATGACCCTTTGACCGCCACCTCGGCACCGGGACCGCTGCCTTCCTGATCGTGAACCCTCTGACCACGTGCTCTGACCGTCCCTGCCGGACCCGGCAGTGACCGGCAAGGGTAAGGCGGCCTGCGGAGTAGGCTACCGTCAACTTCTGGTCACCGAGCTGGTCTGTAACAACGCTCTGGACGGCCTGACGTCGCCTCAGCTGGCCGCTCTTCTGTCTGCCGTGTCACACGTGCTGGTAGTGGTTACGAAGGAGCCGGGAAGGCAGGAGCCAGACACCGCGCGTCTGCCAGCCGCACTCAGAGAGGTGAGGACGGACAAGATTCGGCGGTTGTGTCGAAGATTTAGAGGTGGGCTGGTAATGGGAAAGGGTTGGAGGCGTGCTGTTGGCTCGATGGATTTCTTGAAGGCTCTCAGATATTGGCTATTTTTAGGTTGCATTTGATTAATGTTTGCAGCTCTACACAATGTGATAGGTGTCAGCTGTTTTCGTTTCTTCAGCTCAACGTAACGACGGATTTCTGCTATGCTCTCCACGTTTGCTGCTCCATTATTTCGTCTCAGTACCGCTCCACTGGGGGGCCGTATATAACGTCACAACCCAAAATAAACCGCCGTGTGAAGCACAGCTGTGGTTACGCGCTGCTGTGTGGGATGACCTCTATCTAATCTGCTGATCACACGAGCTCTGACTGCGTCGGTTTCGCTCCGTCGCAGGGCGTTGTCCGGATGCTGAAGATCGCTCGTCACATTGACAAAGTGCAGGAGAGGAACGGACTACAGACTCGCACAGACGAGGAGATGTCGCTGCAGTTTGAGTTGATCGAGGCCGTTCTCGACTGGGCTAGCGGAATGGTGAGTCCAACTCCTCGCTCATTGCCCGAGGCGGGGACGTTTGTGCGGGAAAGGACGATTGAGTGTTTGTTTGTCATCTACTGCCGTGATATGAATGCGCGTTTTTCGTCTCACTGGATGCTAAACGTGCATGATGATAAATGTGCGCATGAGGTGTGCTTCTAGTGAATCTTCCGGTGGATGCTGGACAGTAGAAGTTTCAGTCGTGTTAAATGTAGATCACGGCTTAAATGTCTCGCCTGTCCTCGGTTCCGCCCGCTAACTCTCTCTCCGCCTTGCCCTCCTGTTGCAGGAGCTGCGTAACGTCCGATTGCCGCGGGAGAGCGACCAGGGGAACCTGTGCCGCACGCTGCAGCGTCTGGACGAGACGCTGCGTGACGTGCGCGACCTTGCCGTGACGCTGCGCCTCCCCCGACTGCAGTCGACCGTGCGCGACGCTCTGGTGGCGATCCGCCGGGGTCTACCGTTCAACCCCAGCATCTACACAATGTGAACGGGGAGTGAACCGGCCACACAAGACAGCTGACACTGCGCGGTTTGAACTGACGGCCCTCTATACCCTACTCTCCCTCTGTTACGATAGACAGGACACTGCCTAAGTTGGTGGTTATCACAGAGAGTTGTTCCTGAATCGTCGTCTACAGGCAGTAGGCGGACCCGGTTTGAATTGTACAGCTACCGCAATAATCAACTGGCGCATGGTCCAATTAACAGCACGAACGGCATCAACACCTCACTTGTAAAGTGAAGGACAGATATGCCGTACAAACGGTGTAAGTCATATAATGAATACGAATTAGAGACTAACTAAGCCCAGACAAGCTCTAACTGGTAAAGAACATATTTGAAGTGTATAGGAATTAAAAAAGAAGAATATTAAGAATTCTAGCTCTTATGCTTTCTAAATTAAAATTGCGGATCCAAAAGAAAACTTCGACAAGCTTTCGGCAATGCGCGATCATTAGCTCCGATTGTCCTCAATGTCCTCCTTTTTCGTATGTTTTAGCAATGTCTCCAACTAGCGTTAAAACATTTATTACTGTATGTAGGAACTTTCAAATTATTTTTTACTCGGCCAATTTGCTGTCTTTTCAGGCTTATTTCGCTCATATACTCGTTTTACACCGAGTACACACTTCAGACTTGCTTTTCAACTCGAACAAGATCACATTACGCTGCTGTTTGCCTTGCGACGTGTCGGAAAATCGGCTTCCAAAACATCTCACAAATTCACGGCACGAAAGGAACAGTGTGGCAGCTCATGCCGCCTTGACAGTGGTACAGCGTTTGCTTGGGACAGTATGTCAGTTATGTACTGCCAACGGTCATATCGTCTGTTATCCAGCTAGTAAGGGTTTGGATGTTACCAGGCTGTTCGGAGGTGATTGAGCTTTGTTGCACACGATAGCTTCGTTTTCGGAAATGTCATTTCATTGTACAATTTAAGCATGCTTGGAAGGGATGAAGCAAGGAGATTAAATTTGATCGAAACGATTGACTGTGGTTATTCAACGGAGCATAACACTAGAAATGTGCTGGACTGTGAGTTGATGACTACCAGCCGCATAGCTGGATGTAATTTCTATCCCGTGATTTGAAATTTGGAAGAAAAATACTATCGCAACGCTGAGATTGATAAATGATGGTTATTGCCTTCATGTACGTGAAACGCATTGACTTCTATCACTCCTTTCATGTGATCTGAATCATTTTATCTGGAGATGAGAGTCTTATTTGTGATTCATTTTCTTGAGTTACTGGACGCGTGTAATGTGATAGGAAATGGGCTGTGGAAGAGACCTATTTACGCTGTAGAAAGAGCTATTACTCCGCCGTTGGCTGTGGAACGGTAATTGCTGTGCTTTTGTCATCTCTGGGAAGATAATTGCTGGGATCGGTATTGTGCTAGGTGTGATATTGCGTATTTTGTTCTAAAGGCCTGGCTACACTATGCGTTTTCTTCGTTCGTTTTTTGCGTGTTTGTGTGTTTTGCGTGATATCGTTCTAGAAAAACGAACGATATTACGTTTTCGTGATGTTTTTCACCTTAAATTTTAGTTACATAAGAGTTATATTAGCTTTTGTATATAACCAAAGTAAAAATTATATTGTTTATAACTTTTTTCCTAGAACGATATTACGCAAAACACGCAAACCTGCAAAAACGCACGCAGAAAACGCATAGTGTAGCCAGGCCTTAACTCTTTCAGAATCATAGAAGCCTTGTTGATCGTAATACGAATTGTTTGTCTTATGAAACCTTTATTTGCGACCAATTACCCTATATGGGTAATTTTCTGGACGCATCAAGTACCGGGTGATACCACCGATACATCGAGCTTTACATTGTCATGTATTGGTGTTGATAGTACAATACTTGATGCAGGTTGGACCAATGTGGCCAGACCGGGACGTAACTCGCGTGTGTTGTCCTGGGTTGATTCGACGTGTCCGCTTCTGTAATAAAACAAAAGGCAAATAGGTGTTTGACTTAACCAAGATCGTTGATTCCTGTAATGAAATGACATGCTACTATGCTTACAGTGTCGCAGAAAGATTATGCTCATATAACGACCGACGTCTGTCATGCTTCCTTGAAGGCGCAATGAGCTAGACCTCCGTCTAGCTCAGGCTGGGACGACACAGACCTGCTGCGCTTCTCTGCCCGGGATGGCCCGGACCGGCCTGTAGCGGGTCAGACGCCGACGCTCCCGCCCAGGTCAGGCGGTCCAGCGCCCGAGCACGGCGCGCAGCAGCGGCAGCACGCGGATGGATGAGAGGTCGGCCAGCACGGCTTCCATGGTCTGCTGGCTGGTGGCGGCCAGCAGGCTGGCGCGCCGGTAGGCCAGCACGGCGGCGGCCAGCAGCGCCAGCGGCCGCAGCGAGTCGTAGGCCAGCACCAGCTCCCACAGCGGCAGCAGCTGGCTGACGCGCAGGTAGCCCGAGAAGGCGCGCACCAGCCACCGGAAGACGAGCCGCAGCGGCTGCACGCGACACCGCCGGCAGTGCAGCCACAGCGTCAGCTCGTGCTCGCGCAGCAGCCGCTCCAGCAGTAGGCTGAGACTGACGATACCGTCCGGACGGCTGGAGAGCGTGTGGAGCAGCACGAAGTACCGCGAGTACAGCCGCTCGAACGCCATCAGCAGCCGCGTCGGGTCACTGAGAACGAAACAGAGCGGTGCTAGATACATGGAGAAGCCGTGGAAGGGCACCACACCGCATGGCGGGTACGCCAGTGGAGTGTCGGGCGCTCCGGCGGCGGTCGCACGCGCAGGCCGGCCTGGGAGCGGCGTCAGTGCTTCCAGCAGTGCTGTGTGACGCAGGAATCGCAGCAGCGTCGCGCGCAGCAGCTCGGAAAACACAAAGTACTGGTCGTCGTTGCCGGCGGTCAGCTGAACGTCACGTGCCACGAGTCGGTCGGCGAGCAGCTGATGCTGCAGCACGGCCCGATCCAGTTCCTCTAGCTGCGCCGTGTGCCTCGCGTCCGGCCGCACTCCCAGCATCTGACACCAGAGCTCGCCGCGCTGGCTCTGCGGCACGCCCAGTTTGGCGAATTCGCGCGCGGCCGGCGCGTCGTCCAGCTCTAGGAGTCGGGCGCCGAGCATCTCCCGATACTGGGCGACGCTGAGGTGCGGTTTACCAGCGGCCGGCAGGTCGGCAGACATGCTGAGGTGCTGCAGCCGCGAGCTGCCCAGCTCCTCGAACTGCTGCCGAAGCTCAGCCAGGTCGGGCACTGGCAGCGGCAGACGCACCATTCCGTACAGGAAGTCGCTGCTCGAGGCCGCGTAGTTGGGGTTCTCCACTCGTGTCAGCACCTCCAGGAAGTCCTTTGGGGCGTAGACGGGTCGGAATCGCTCCAACTCGACTGGCTCGTCCTGAGACGCCTCCTCGGGCCTCTCGACAATCTTCTGCTGCTGCGCCGGCGGCCGGAGACGCGCCAGAGGTACCCCGAGCTCAGCGCTCATGGCGTTGAGCGACTTGTAGAGGCGACGCTCCCAGGCGCGCTGCGCCCGGCGCATGTAGTCGAGCGGCTCCTGAATGGCCTCGAGTGGGTAACCGGGCGGATACAGCAGGTCCGGCCGGCTGAGCACCGTCTGCTGCACCAGGTTCTGCAGCCGGCGCTGGCAGCGCGACGAGCGCACCAGCGTCAACAGCTGCTCGCGATAGTCGTCAGCGTCACACAGCTCCGGGTGCGAGGCCACCAGCCGCTCCAGACTCTGCATGACAGAGGCGTAGCCGTCCTCCTTCCGCATGTGCTCCATCAGCCGCGTCACGTCTCGGTTCATGGCGGCCGGGAGATTCAGCTCGTACAGCTCCACGAATGAATTGCACGGAACGGATCACTCGTCTTTCACAATGTCCTGAGTGACTACTGACTAGTCGTCAGTGTTCCCTTCCCACACCACGGGTCGCCCGGTTTAGCTGCTTGTTTGATCAATGCTAGTCTGTCAGGTTCGGTTCGCGACTTGGGGTGCCTGATAATGCGATGCCTGTCATTGGTCAAAGTGGAGGGTAGTTTTTCGTGGACACTGAAAATCAAAGTTAAAATTTTTATTTTGCGATCATATGAGCTGTGTCAAACAACCGCAAAATGCCCGATACATGATTCCCCCTACCGCGCTAAAAATTACTTTATCGGAGGAAAATCTCCCGATTTGGCATCGCACAAAAATGCTGATGCCGCTGAATGCTGCCAAATCAAAACATCACGAGAGAGAACAACAACCCCGGCAAGAAACTCTGACTCGGACTGGGGGTAATTTATTGTCGTTTATTGCCAAGAAAGAGGTGCTTTGACGGGTTTTCTGTGAAGAGGTACGTATGATTCATCTGTCTTTACATTGCTGGATTATTTTATCAATAACAAGCTGATAGCTGTATTTGCGGCATTTAAGCATGGTTCGCGGCAATTCACAGTCGAAATTCGAATTGAAATATAATAAAAATGAGCCCAATTTTGATTATTAGAAATAAAAGCAATGAAAGGCTTCAAAATTGGGTACTGTTGGCAATCCAGAAGGCCTGCTTCACATGCAGCAGAGCAGAATCAGTTGGGCAAACCAGACCTTTGGAATCAAAATATGGAGGCATCAAAAGATTGATTCCTTATGACCATATTTGGGCATAAATGCAGACCATTTCTAACTTACCAATCACATAAAAATAAGAGAGTGTTTCAAGAAGGAGCATGCCTGATCTTGAACAGAAATGCTGGAACTATCTCCTAAACAAAATAATATTGCTCCTATCATAACAATTTGAATTCTATTGGTAGTGAAAGGCAATCAAGGAATTGATCCACTTTAATCAGATAATCATAATATTGATTCCCCATCAGCTGGCTAATCATTATTTTGATTCACAGGTAATGTTAACAGATAGGCAACAATGACTTGCAAGAATACAGCATTTATCTTGCTATTATTCTCATTTCAGTCGGTGACACACCAGGGAAATAAGCTAAAATTAGAGCGCTCTATTTATTGCTCCTGCCCCATGTTGAAGAGATACCCCTAAAAGCGTGATCTTTTATCGGCCCTTACGCAGCAAGGCAGTAATTCTCAGACCGGTGGATGGTATCAATAGAAAGAGAATGCGTCAAAGATTAACATGAATTAATTAAAATAACATAAAAATGTTAATTAAGCGTGGAAATTAGTCCCAAACATAAGCTACTTATTGCTCCTACCTCGGCGACGGCGCTCCCCGCAGTCGGCGGAGAAGCTAAAATAAAAGCCACCATCCTCCTCCGTAAGTCAATTTTAGAGCGGCCGAGTGGGCCGATGCGGGGCCACCAAACTGAGGTGAGACGTGGCTAGTAATTGCAAACCGCCATAGAAATCAATATCTTAAGACGTACAATATGGAATTATTACTCTGAAGCTGGAGTGAAAGCATGAGTAGATTGCAAGAAACGAAATGCATAGATTGGTTGAATTATGTACAATAGGCACAGCTCAGATGAAGCCATTTCTATGATGTTGACATATGACATAACCCTTCCTCTCCTCACCTATGACCTAAGTGCATTGGCAGTTACCGGCATAGTTTTTGAGCACGAGTGTAATTCGCAATCGGACCGCAATACATGTTGCCAGGCTGCTGCAATTACAACAAACATACGAATACTGCCTTCATTTGTAGACGTTTGTTTTTTAGGCGGTCTTTGACGTGCAAGGGGGCATACCTGTCGACAACTTGAGTTTCTCCGAATTTCAAAAACTCCCAGAATTTCAATTCCTTATGCACTGTTGTAGGTACAGCTATGTTCACAAGTTTTCGTTTCCTCCTGTTCTAAAAAGGATGATATGTGTCGATTTCGTGCGTCGCTGATAGGAGGGTGCGTTTAAAGGGACCCTCCCACCTTAACATTAGATTTGAGTTGAGATAGCCAAAATGGGGTCCCTGGCTCACAATTACCGGTTTCGGCACTCACAACATCGAGAAATGCCTTAAATCGGAAATATTGAATTTCAAAATTGCAGCATTTTGATTCAGAGGGGCTAATGCTTAGGAATACCCCTCTGAATGTGTGACGTCAGCGCAGATATCTAACGATTTTTAAATGTTTGACTAAAACGTTTTGTAGCACGCGGTGGTATATGCTATTTGCGCGCAACATCTGCCGCAAACGCCGCACTTCTAAAATAAAGTCGCTAGAAACAGCGGAGATCCCAAAAAAGTAAACAAAAGTAAAAGTCTAATATCTTGAAAACCGGTGAGTATTTTTCGGTGAAATTTGGTAGATATTCGTTTTCGCTCTTTCTGAACCGAGCGACATCACTTTCATGCCAATTCATAAACTTTTTTGAAGGTGGGAGGGTCCCTTTAATAATCAGGCCCAACGCTTTCTGCATCCGCGAGTACCTTCAAAAGGGAACAACAGTTTCCATTTATTACACTATGGGACATGTGACAAAATGACCACTGGAACACGCATGAAACGGAGCTCATATATAGGGCCTTGGAGCTCATATTCCTAAAAATTCTACAATCACTTCTTTTCTGACACTATTAGCAAATACCATCTCAAGTTAGGTGGTTGACAGACAGTCAATGGAGATCTGGGGAGACTGAGTGATGCCAATTCACCACTTAACTGATAATGAGGGCCGAGGGAAGAGAAACATGCAACATGCACAACTGACAACTTGACAAGTGACAAAACACTACCACTATTGCGCAGTGCACAACAAATTACAGCAGCCAGCCCAAAAATGCTTTTGGTGGCTAATGGCAAAACAAGTCACTAATAAATGTCTTAGTTGCAGCTGAACACTGCACAATAATCACACTGTTCACACATTGAGTGAGATGCCACAGGTGGTTTGAATCACACTTTGGTTCAACTGCAAATCTGAAGTGTTGTCATGAGGTTCATGCCTCCATGATCACAGCACTTTGGTTGTGGTTGGCATAACACTTGTAGTCTGCAGAGTTCCACATGAACTGCAGACACCTCATCTGGTGGTCTTCATGTTGCTCAACTTCTTCAGGAGGCAAATGTCGACCACCCAGCGGAAGTATGGTCCTGCAGAAAAGAAAGGTAATGCATAAGGTACAAACATTATCTGCTGAAACAGCTCCTTCTGTTGGCTGTTATTAAACTTTTAACATAGGTAACATAACAACATGTATTCCATGTATATTACATTTGTTGAAGTAAAATACTGCCGGCTATTTCAAAACCAGAAGATGAAATTATATTGTGGCATAATTCACCTGCTCGGCTATTGGTATCAAATAATAATTAATTTAATATTTGGCATATTCTATATAACACATTCATAGAATATTCTACTTCACGTCACAAGGACTCACAATCTTTCTGTTGGGTGTTTGATTGACGCATTAACTAAGTTCTTCTTCGGTTTTATTATTGCAAAAAATTCATATTGCATTATTGTATCAAAATACTGCCAGCAATAACAAAACAAGAACATGAAATACCAATGAGCAAGCCGCCTCTTTCCTTAAAATGGATTACTTTGAAAGGAATTTTAGTTTCTTTTAAGGAAAAGGAGAAATGATTATCAGGTAATTATCAGAAAACCACTCAACCAGCAAGTGGCTGGGTGGTTTCACAGCAAACATCAAGCCAAAACATATACCTACATCTATCTAACAATTGAGCCATTTGACTACTACAAGGATATGTGAGAAAAATAAGAATTCAATTATCCAATGTTGACTTCCTTGCAAAGTTTATGCCTTATTTTATGAAAATGTGTCACTAGAATATGATACTTATTATCGAATATTATTTAAATTACGATTTATTTCGATCGGAATGCACATGGAGTCCCGCGCCATTTTCGTCGACGATGAATATGATCGTGCTTCATGAAGAGATAAGGGGTTTCAATGGTCTTTCAAAGCAATAATTTGATGCAAAAATTTGTAGGAAATAATATGAAGCTGGTTCAAATGGCCATCAACCATTTAAAACACCGAAAATACTCACAACTCCGTCCCGACGACCACGCAGCACCGCGCACGCCACACTACTGGCACAATGCCAAAACTGCTGTCACAGCGGAAATGTTTTTTTTTTCTCGATTGCAATTGTGGAATTATTTATTAAACAGAAGATGATCTTTCCGAAAAACCGACTGATTTCATACACAGATGCATGGAAAATAAAAAAAATCCCGGTAAGTTTATTTGTATTGTTTTGTCGATTTTGACATGCTCCTAGTTTGCAGCCATATTTCGATATGTTCTACAGGGAGTTCAGAATTATTTCAGGACCAATCTTTTCCTCATTCATTTTCCCGTCGATCATGAAATTTTTAGAGCGGAACAATTGGTTTCCAGGCGGTCCGAGCGGTTTTCGTGAGAAGGGTGCAAAAATCGGCGTCATTTTTAGAGCCTCGACACCAGCTCAACACAGGACCCTATGGGAGACGGTGAAGTAGCGGGAGCAATAAATAGAGCGCTCTAATTTTAGCTTATTTCCCTGGTGTGTCACCGACTGATTTAGTAGTATCCTAAGCACTACAACAGATACCTATAGCATTGTTGTACTTTACCTTCACTACATTTGATACCTAACAATTCACAATTTCTAAATGTCAGGAATACAAAAACTGAAGCAACAGGTAAAAACTATATAATAAATATAAAAGCACTACAACAATGATAATTAGGGGTTTGAAAATTTCATTTTGCCATTTTACACAAATACTGATTGTTTAGTATGTGATTCATGATACAAAAATAACATACAGTGTGATTTCCTCAAAACAGCTTTTACATGATGGACAGTGGCTTTGTCTTTTTCCCATTCACAAGGCCAAAAGGACAATTTCTTAGTTTTGAGGTAACACTTTTTGCAAACCTACCACATTTTTGCTACCTTTTTAGAGAAAAATCTGACCGTCATGGGCCCTTTTTCAACTGTAACGATACATTTGAAGTCATAAGTGTACCCAAATGAATCAAAAAATTGATTCCATGCCCATATTTGGTCATGGCTCCTCCCACCAAAATCAAATTATTGATGCCTCCATATTTTGATTCCAAAAGTCTAGTTTGCCCAACTGGAATATTCAGTAGTCATATAAAGCAGGTGTCACACTCTTTTTGCAACCAGAGGACTGATCAGCTGTGCAGCCAAAATGAACTATGCTGCAGAACGCATGGGCAGTGAGGGCTACATCAGTTGTCACCCGTTAGTCCCGTCCACACCACTGTGTCATCGCCTGTGTGACGTCACCTACTGAAGCGAAGCATGCTTCTGCTTTCCTGCAGCCGGAAATTCGGTGCTGCAGGTCCTCTGAGGGTCTCAAGTCGAACGCACGTTACTTATGTCCTTACGTAGGGTCCTTATCGATTTGACACAGACCCCAAGGGTTCACACTGTTATCTGAGAGTTTCAGGCTAGCCCTGGGCCTGGCTGCTTCGCGCCCGCCGCCCGGCGCCCACACTAGCTTCTGAGGGCCCCACCTAGGGCCTGGAAAGCCCTAACAAGTAAATGTTTGGGGTGACCCCAGACCCACGCCGATCTCCGGGATCCCAAGCGGGCTTCTAAGAGCCCACACTGACCCTGAGTGGCCTAAAATGGCCTGGCAATCCCAAGCCTACCCTAAGAGTGGGTCGGCAGGCGCAGCCACTGTGGAATAATTCTAATTTCTGCTGGTCGTTTTTGTTTCTATCCAATATTTCCAACTTAAAAAATATGTAAAAAAGAACATGTCATAGCTAGAAAGAAAACTTTGTAGCCATCGCATTTCTCGCCTCGCATCATTGCACGTCGAATGATATGTAAAACGAGTGAGTAAAGATTGGAGAAAGGCAAGATTTAACACAACCATTGATTTGCCCCCAACCGAAATTCTCTGGCGACGCCTGTCCCTGTGGGTGGCACTCACCAATTCACACTCTTGCACCTCACATTACAAATTCCTGCAAGGAGGAAACGCACCACAATTCAATCCCTTGGTGAGTCATATCCGGTAGCAAAACAATCTGAATCACAAAAATATGTCACGCCAATAATGCCATTTTGTAGCAGAATATTCTGCCTTGGCATTATACTTTGGGGGCCTGTGCCACTTGCTCCACCCAATGATGCCTACAGCCACATGAGCACCATGATCATGGAATATAAGCTGAGTCATAACTCATATCATATCTGTCTATATAATGGCTTCCATTCAAACGAAAAATAATATGCAAGCCCTCAACTTGCTTTTGTTCAGAAATTAAAATCCAATTCAAATTTGAAGCCTTATTTATGTGAAAAATTGTGGAATTTAAGTAATTTCTGGGGCGGTGACTGTGAGCTAGGCCAGATTACAAAGCATGGCAAAAGAGTTGACAAGAACCCAGCCAGCAATTTCGTTTGACTCAAGTCCGTTTAGCTCCGGCAGCTCCGACATGCCCGAGTTCGGCAGGTGTAAATGGAACGCTGTCAGATTTCAGAGCCGGGGTTTGGGTCGATATGGCTCTATTCCCGTTAGCCGGCCTGTGCCGTAGCGCTCTCGAGTTGGTATGGTTTCGGACCGCCAGGTCTGGCCCAAGTCGGCCATGCCACGGCTTAACCCGCGCACCGACGGGGGGGGGGGGGCATATCCGCCCCCCCTCCTGAGGTTTTTCGTAAATAGCGGAAAAACTGCGGCGCGCGCCGCGAAATTTGACATGACGATTTCCCCATCAATTTTACACATAGTGTGCAAGTTTGAACGTCCTTTCTTTCAAGGTCAAGTCCCCGGGTCACTTCGAATGACCCGACCTCAATTCACTTTTTTGCAACTTGGTCAATGTGTCAGAGCTACAGTAGATGAGTCAGAGCTACAGTAGATGACGAAGTTCTTTGAAAGTTGCAGGATATAATGAGGTCATTGGTAGCTATAATTTGGACATCTCATAATTTTTATATCGATGGCCTAAGGTCAGGTCAACTTCTTGGATCGACTTGCCCATTGTAAGTCAATGGGGGGGGGGGGAAATCATCTGCCTGATTTTTCACTAAAACGTGTCGGAATGGCCTATAGACCTCTGTAATTCTCTATGCGAGTATGGAGAGGTCTATGGTGATTTTGTACGTTCGACTGTGTTTCAGCGCCCACACTGCCTGCCTCACGATGCGGTACCGCGCCAACTTCCTGCCGCGCTCCGTCATGGACGGTTTCGCCACCGTGTTCATGCTGACTGCCATCGGCGTCACATTCGTCAGCGAGGTGTCGCTGGTCCTTCCGGGTCTGGTGGACGGCCCGCTCTACTGGGTACAGGCCGTCATCGGCATCTTCATCCTGTTCAACATCCTCGGCAACATCTTCGCCGTGATGCGTCTGGACACGTCCACGCACGGCCTGCTGCTGCCGGCGAGTCTGAAGCCCGGCTGGCGGTTCTGCTCGGCGTGCGAGGCCACGGCGCCGCCGCGCTCCTGGCACTGCCCCATCTGTCGGGCGTGCATCCTGCGCCGTGACCATCACTGCACGTTCACGGGCTATTGCGTGGGCCACTTCAACCAGCGCCACTTCCTGCTGTTCCTGGCGTACCTGGCGCTTGGCGCGCTCTACTCGACAGTACTGAACGTCATCTTTATCATGCGCGTGGTGGGCGGGTTCCACCTGCTGTCGCTGCTGCAGCTGGTCATGCCGACGGCCATGCTGGTGTTCGGCCTGGACGTGTCGCCCAAACAGGTGAGTTGTGTGGCTCTGTCTAGTACAGCGGTGGGGGAGGCGGCTGGGAGAGGCAGTGTTCGACTAGGCTGGAAGGTAGAAGGGACTGTAGTAAGTCCTGTGCTACACAATACTTATCTGAATTACTGATAATTTGTAATGCATTTTGGTCTTAGCTTTAATCACGATGTATGTAATATATCAAACGATGTTAGCTATTGTAAATAACTACGTGTTTTTTATCTATAAAAATGGCCTCATAGTTCCGCGACTCTATTACCATTGACCACCCCATTCCCTCTCTCCCCAGCTGTACGCGTTTCTGTTCACCCTGGACCTGATCGGGTTCCTGTTTGTGCTGGCTCTACTGCTCTACCACGGACAGGGAGCTCTACGAGGCGCCACCAACTACGAGAAGGTCCACCGGCAGTTCCAGTGAGTGCCGCCTCACTTATCAGACTGTCCGAAATCCGCGGGATAGTGAGCTGATAAACTGTGAACGTCAGAATTTGAAAGGGTATAGGTGGATCCTAAGTAAAGAAGGCCCATTTGCCTAGTTTGTCACCTGTCAACATTTGCGTAATCGGACGAAAAATTTACATCTTGTGATGATATCCTTCCTTCGCAGTTCGATATCTTGGGACCTGCATGGATATTGGATACCATTAGGTGTCATGGCATGTATTCAAATTTTACCCTTAATCTACTTTTCCCAGCTAATTGTGAGACACCATACGTCTTCCGCATGTTGGAAAAATGAAGCTTTTTATGCTTACATCTTTGCCATTTCACATACATTTACAGGAGCCACCCATAATATCCCCAACCACGCTCGCAATTTTCGTGGACGCTGGACACTTAACATCTATTTTATCGAGCCATCACACACTGTACCACCAGTGTTCCGGATAACAGCCTGTCTCTCCACGTTCACAGGTATGACCTGGGCTGGAAGGAAAACCTGCGGCAGATTTTTGGCACCCGCTGGTACCTGGCCGTGTTGTCGCCGGCAGTACACTCACCCCTACCTTCAGACGGCATCAGCTTCACAACAGCCGAACAGTGGAGGTTGGAGGGAGACAAACATCGCTGAGAGACGCTGTCGTGGTATCCCCTTCTCCGTCACAGCCTGCTGAAGTGCTAGGTGGGCGACGCGGGCCCTGAGGTGCCCTGAGGTGACGCGCGCCCTGTGGTGTAGGAAGGGGTTGAGAAGTTTCAGAAGAGAGATGACAAGGAGGGAAATGTTAAACGAGGGACGATGGTAGGTTGAAGGGGTGACCTTCATATGGTGACGAGCTATGCAGCCGAATAGCGAAGCAGTGTTGTGGATCTGTGATGGCTTTAGGGTGGTGCTCTTTGCGGCTTGCTGAGAGCCGGGTCGTGCCGTCGTCGAATTATGAGCTTCTCAAGACAAGATGATGTGTGGTATGGTCTCGATATCGGTCTCAACAGGATCAATATGCGGTCTTAGTGTCGGTTGGCCAGTAAGGCAAAGTGTTTTGATTCCATCCACGGGACAGTGGGCTCTCGATCAGCTCCCCCGAGGGGCCGGTTACGCTCAGTCGCCGTCCCAACAGGCAGGCGGCCCGATGTGAAATGGCGTTGGCAGGGTTCCGCCCAACCTGACGCCCTGTGATAGGAGTGTGAGGGCCTGGGGCCAGGGTGGACTGTGTGTGGACACAGGCGGTGACTTACGACACGCTACCGTCGGTAAGAAGTGAGAGCATCGGGTAAGAGCGAGTCCCGAGTGAGCGTTGAAGTTAGATATGCTCTGTTTAGCGATGCTGGCAGACTGGTGGCAGCGCCGTAGTTATCGTTCCGGCCGCTAGGTGGCGGGGTTGATGTGCTTTCGATCCTGGTCACAGCCTACGACAAGAGATGGATGATGTCGGTAGAGGAAGCGATGTGTTCCCACGTTTGAGAGACGTCGCTGTTAAATGTGCTTGCCTTAATATCACTGATTGAATGGTGTTCAATTCATGTATGTAATTGTCGTAGATCGCCGTACGCTAGGTTTTTGCTAGAACTGCTCCATGTGATTGGTTATGATTTGTACATTGATTGCACAATGATTATACGTGGCTGTTGTGTGTAGCTGGACAAACATGTTTATTGTTCATGCACCAGTACATATTGTAATTCTTTCAACTAAAGGACTGCGTGAAAAGTGACTATGAGATCCTGGAGTATGCTGCTTTCTTGTAGATAAAAAAGCTTTTCTGTGCGTGCTACCTGGGTAAGCTCCATTCTCGATAAAAGTGACTTCTACTGCGTCCAAGTGGATTTGACAATTCACCCATTCGTACCTATGCATCATTGGTGTTATGTCTACATGAACGTTTTGATGTGCTTATATGCATAAATGTGTCTGAAATATGCAACGTTAAATGTGTAAGTAAACGTGTAAGCTCCAAAGATTTTGGTAATATTTCCTTCAGAATCTGCGCTTTAGATACACCGGTATTCGTCCCTGCTCCGGTCGAGTAAGGTCAATATTTCTTGCAGATTCTTGTTAAGAAACACGAAGGGGTGCTTACGTTGAGGATATTTTACAAGTTTTGACGACAGAATGTGTTACGAGTCAGCTGGACTTAACCTTATCGTGGGGCAAGGTTATGATTTTCCCGTGGTGTCTTACGTAGGTCGGCTACCGTCGGCAGCGAAAGCTGGGACACCAGAATACGTCCCGCTAGGTGTCGCTGACGCTAATTTATCCTGGTCTAGGTGGCGCTAAGACGGCTGATGTTCTTATAGAATGCCGAACAAAGTAGCACGTTTTATGGGCTATTGTATCAACTGCAATGCTATTTCTCATATAATGACCATATTTTTAATCTGTGAATGCATTTGGTGAACGCTTTTCCTTTGACGCGCTGAGACTGATGGCGGTCTTTTACCAGTCACTGCATGAGTTTCTGTATGCCCTCAACAGATGTCGTGTCAATCGTTCTTAAGTGATCTAGCAAGCAGTGTTTGGCTTGTTACAAATTATTCTTGATGTTATCGAAGTCAGTAAAAATTTGGCAGATGGCGCAACAATAGCTCGACTAGATGGCGCAGTTAGCGCATCATTGAAGCATTGTAACGTCAAAATAGAATTTATCTATTTGTGAAACGTGCTACAGAAACTAATTATGTTAAATGTTATATATACCACCTTATTCTCGATTCTTGTTGGAAGCGGTGCTTGGAGACCTGCGGACATCGATCGCTCATTGCTGATCTGTTCCGTCCCCTTTGCATCACTACCTGTGCTGAGAGCACCCGTGGCTTCGCGCCCGGCGCTGCTCCACCTCAAAATTGGGTTCTAAAATCTTCACTTGCATAGTGGAACCTAAATTGGGGAACTGACTATACAGTACTGCGCTTCCATGTACAGCGGCCCTGCGCGTGGCAGGCTGCCACTTTTGACTCTGTGAATGGCCTATATGGATGATGAGATAATAATGGATTGGTGTCTTCGCAGTTTTTGGCGACATTGAGCTCAGGCCTGCCATCTAGCGGGAGAATTATCGTAAGTTAGGAGCAAGCCGGGTGAACGCCGCTGATTAGCATTGTGACACACGGGAGTGTGGTGTAGTAGCAGGCTTGATGTGCAATTTTTCAAAATGTTATGTCTTAATATGTCAGCAAAAGTGATGAAATTAATAAATTTATGTACAGGGTGAGTAATAATATAAGCGGTTCCCAGTTATTTCCTCTTTAAAGGAAAAGGGCCACCTTTAACCCGCGCCCGGCTGGGGGTCCTGGATTTCCACGCCCTGCTGGGGGGGGGGGGGGGTGTTTGAACACCCCCCCCCTTGTAACTCGGCTCCTGGGCCACGTAGCGATACGCGGAAGGCGGCGTTCGAAAGAGCGGCAAAAATAATGACGAAATTACTTCGGTCAATTTTTTGGTCAGGTCAAAGGTCAGGTCACCAGAGGTCATTGAAGGCAAAATTTCGCCGATTTCCAGGTCGAATGTCGACAATTTCCAAGAAGCCAACGCATAACTCGAGAACCAATAGAGCTACAGCGCCGCGGAAAAGCGCATTCGATAGCCCTATTAAAGCCCTTTCTGAGTAATTCTCTCAGATTTGACCTAACGTCAACGGTTTTGCCTGCAGGGGGTAAAAACTGCAAAAATAGCCGATTTTTTCGGAAACAGTTTTTCTGCAATAACTTTTGACCCAAGCCTTGAACGAGCTTACTTTTACCGGCATTGTGTTCCTCTCGTCAAGACGCATCGAATGAACTATAAGTTGACCTTGAAAGGTCAACTTGAAAATTTGACCTCAGGTCAAGGTCATGACCTGACCGGAAAGGGTCATGTTGCATATCAGTCGATCCGCATCATCGAGCTGAACACATCTAAGGCGTTTTCATCGCTCTAGCATGCCTCTATCAAAAGTTATTTGCGAAAAACGGTTAGATACCATTCGTGACCTAAGATGACCTCAGGGCATAAACAAGGGTCACGGACACCATTTTCATGTTCAGTGTGTCTAAACCACTTGTAATTCGGTGTTTGGGAGTGTTTATAATGTCTTTTGTCCAAAAGAGGCGCATTTCAATTTTCTCCCATTGACTTATAATGGGGAGGTCGCAAAATTGACCTGACCTTAGGTCATCGATATCAAAATTCTGAGATATACATTTTGTACATGCTATTGCTCTTAGCAATCGCTGAAAGTTTCAAAGCGATCGGTCACTCGGTGTAGCTATGACAGACATTGAAACTTTTTATGAGGTGAGGTCACTTCAAGTGACCTGGTGACCTGACCTTGAATGACCTTGGTCTAAAATTTTCACAACATGTGTAGAATTGATGTATGATAAGGTGTACCAAAAACGGCGGCGCTCCGCGCCGCCGTTTTTGAGATATTCGCGAAAAACCACAAGGGGGGGGGGTGTTCAAACACCCCCCCCCCCAGCAGGGCGCGGGTTAACATGGGGATCGAAACTGAGATAGCCATCTTGTAGCCCGTGTCCGAAAACCTATCTGTCTACCTCCTTACGGCCGATTTCGGCCTCCATTCGTAGTTATCGGCAATTTTAAAAGAAAATACGCCAGGAATGCGTCCTTATCCCCAGGGGCGGATCCAGGAAAACTGCAAGGGGAGGGTCATGAATCGAAGTGGTGCCCCTACCTATACCCAAAATTAAAAACTCAACGGATTTCGTCCACTTCATTTTGGTGGTGCCCCCATTTTCAGTTTTTTTATTTTTTTTATTTTTAGTCAGTAACTTAACCCGGCGGCCGCTGGGCCTCCGCGCCACCCGCCGGCCGCTGGGGGGGGGGGGGCATATAGTTGCCCCCCCTTTACTTCCGCGGCGATATCGTCGCAACGCGAAGAGATAGAGAAGCGAAACTTTGCACACATCTTCCTGAATACCTAGCCGAGGTTGTGTCCAAATTTGGTGTCGATCCCATTTGAAATGACGTCACAGTGACGTCATAAGTCAAATTGTAGATTTGCGACTCTCAGTTTCCTCACGATACGTCATTTATATGGGACCGAATATAAAGGGCCGATTATTGGTTAGGAACTAGATGGAAGTGTAGGTACTTAGATGTTTTAGGATGACAGCAGGTGCTGTCTAGTTCATTTACAGTTGAGTTTCATGCTCAGCGTCATCAGAAACGGTCCATATCGGAAAACGGCAAAACTTTATGGCGTCACTGTGACGTCATCTTAGATGCTACAACCACCAAACTTTCTTCAAACATTGCCTAGGTATTCATTTGAAGCTATGCCAAGTTTCACGTTCGTAGCTCAATAGGTTTCGGAGATATTCCACAAAACGTAAGGGGGGGCAACTTTATGCCCCCCCCCCCCGGGCGGCTCGTGGGTTAACTCTTAGCCACAACCACATTTATCGATTGTAAGCAAGTATATATGAATGTGCTATGTGTATATATGTTGTGGACGCTGAGTAGTGAGTACTTACCAGGAACGTTATCAGGTAATTGCGAATCGTTGTCAGTCCCAAGGCCATCTATAGAAGGTACAGTCACTCCCCCGCCGACCAATCAGAGACAGATCCTGAGTGACGTCATCCTGATGCTCGAAAGGGGTACTCCATTTCTTTACAACGTAAAAATGACTAACTTCATTTGAAGATTGTTGGTGACACTCTACACATATCGCTCAACCATTGATGTCATTGGAAAGTCAAACTAATTTTCTAGCGATAAAAAAGAGCAGCAATATGCTTAGAAATGCCCAGTTTTGAAGATATAGACGATTTAAAAACCCTCTGCAGTTGCAGGAAAGCAACGTAAAAACGCATCGAGCTTATATTTTTACTATGAATAAATCATTTTTCAGTAAGTTTTTAGATATGGTATCGATTTATTCAACAACTTTATTACAATATTTTTATTACTTGGAACTTTATTTCAAAATAATATTTTCAAAAATGGCAACTGTTGGCAAGTAGCTTTGAAGCGATTATGGCGCGCCGCGCCATTATTGTCCTGAGGCCCCCATATGATGTCATCAAAAGTGGAGTGACATGGGCCTGGTCAGTCCGACGAACTTGACCCTGGCGTCTAAAGGGTCTGTCCTTGACACTTCAGGCTTGTCAGGGGCACCAAAGTCCTTCCAGGGACACCACAAACCTGTCAGGGGCACCTACGGCCTTGTAGGGGCGCCACAGGCCCGCCAGGAAGCAGGGGCACCACAGGCCTAGCAAGGACACTACAGACCTGTCAGGGGCACAACGGGCTTGTTGGGCCCATGAGCACCCCTAGGGGCAGGGGCACCACAGTCCTTCCAGGGGCACCAGAGGCCTTCCAGGGGCACTACAGGCCTAGCAAGGGCACCACTGGTCTATCAGGGGCACCACGAGCCTGTCATAGCCAGGCTTGTCAAGGCCCAGGGGCACCACAGGTCTGTGAGGGGCACCAGCGACCTAGCAGGGGCACCAGTCAACACAGGTCTGCCAGGGGCGCCACAGACCTGACAGGGGCACCACAGACCTGCCAGGGGCACCAGAGATCTGCCAGGGGCACCATCGGCCTCGCAGGGGCACCTTGGGCCTGTCAGGGGCACCAGAGGCCTGCCAGGGGCACTACAGGCCTAGCAAGGGCACTACTGGTTTATCAGGGGCACCACGAGCCTGTCATAGCCAGGCATCTCAGGCTTGTCAAGGCCAAGGGGCACCACAGGTCTGTGAGGGGCACCAGCGACCTAGCAGGGGCACCAGTCAACACAGGCCTGCCAGGGGCACCACAGACCTGCCAGGGGCACCAGAGGCCTGCCAGGAGCACCACCGACCTCGCAGGGGTAACTTGGGCCTGTCAGGGGCACCACGGGCCTGCCGAGGACACTTCAGACTTTTCAGGGGCACCAGTCCTCTCCGGGCGCAGGGGTACCAGCGGCCTGTCAGGGGCACCACAGGCCTAACAAGGGCACCACGGGCCTGTCAGGGGCACCTCAGG